TTTTTGAGAACGAGTAGTTTGGACTAAAATGATACTTCAATTTTTTCTCCTAGTAACAATGCAGGAATCATGGCAACACCATTCATGCTTTCCAAAGACAACATAGAACTACAATTTGCAACAAACCACATAGGTAACAATCAGTTTCTGAGTAAGTTAATAAATACTATATAGGGTTTGGTTGTTGGGTTCTTGAGAAATGAAAACTTAATAAGACAAAGAAATGAATACTTTTCAAGATGGATTTTTTTATTTTTTGCCAAATGGGTATATTTTGAAACATGAAATGACTTATTCTGAACTTTATATGATTCTTAAGGAAAACTTGTTTAATGAAATATGGAGTTGATAAAAGGTTACTGTATGTTCTTGTAGGTCATTTTCTCTTGACAAATATGCTATTGGAAAACATGAAAAGAACTGCTCGTGAAAGTGGCAAAGAAGGAAGGATTGTGAATGTCTCGTCCCGCCGTCACCGTTTCTCATACCCTGAAGGGATTCGTTTTGATAGAATCAATGATGAAGCAGGGTGCAATGCTATCCCTATGCAGTCTTTAGATCCTGTTTAACCCATGGCTTATAAAATTTTTGGCCAAGTTTTCTATAGATTTAATGTTTGTTTAAAGCCTTAAACAGCTGGGTTTTCGTAATTCCTGTACTTAATAACTAGATTAATCATAATAAGCAGAATTATATCATTATTTGCATATTTAAACTAATTTTGCTTTTACTTTGAATTTACAGGTACAACAGTCTATCTGCATACGGTCAGTCAAAGCTTGCTAATATTTTGCATGCTAATAAACTTGCAAGATGCCTGAAGGTTCGTAACTTGTTCAAGGATAATTAATGTGTCCATATATTACATTTGTGATAAAAACTTATTTTATAAGAAATATTTGGTGAGAAACAATAGGAAACTCATCAGTTCATATTTCTCTTAGTTTGCCTGCTAAGCTTTTATGTGACTAGTTACTTTAGTCACCATATATGAACCTCAATTATAGCTCATCTGCTAATTTGCAGATCAGGATGGTAATTCTCTCATATAATTTTTTATAGTTTTGTTTTCTTTTAAAAAAAAAAAAACAGGAAGATGGAGTGGACATAACTGTGAATTCAGTACATCCGGGAGCAATTGCTACCAATCTTTTCCGACATCACAGCTTTTTCAGCAGTATGTTCTCCATGGAGATTCATCATCTAGAGTTTCGCTGCAGACAGGAGCAAATTAATATGCTGCTTTGGCTCTTAATAGAAAAATATACTATGCTTACCCATTCATTTTCCATTTCAACGATAACCAACAACAACATTAGATGGCTAATTCTTTATATCAATATTCTCATCATTTTGGTCTGAATTTGATGCAGGTCTTGTCAATCATCTGGGAAAATATGTGATGAAAAATGTTAAACAGGTAAATTTTGTGTGGTGTATGTGTGTGTGTGTGTGTGTATCAAAGGGCTGAAAAAAGATAAATTATTGCTTATTTGTTGTGCTTATCTTTTGTTATTTGCATTTCAAGATTCACTGAATTCAGGGTCATAGTTCAGAAAACATATTGTTTACTTCTAAAATTTTGAACTTAGAATCACTCAATTATTAAAAAAGGGCAGCTTGATAGTAATCAACCTGGACCATATTGAAGGAGTATTGAGAGATTGGATTCGGACAACCAATCACAGCCCATGAGTCCGTTCCAGGCCAGATCAGGCTAAGTCAAGACATCTAGAGCGAGCTTGAGCTACGTTCGACCTATTTAAGACCTATTTAAGTTTAACATATTCTCATTAGTAAAAATCTTTTACAAATTTTTATTTAGTGAGAGCGAGCACAGCTTCGTCCATTTAGAGCCTGGACCATGTCTGGCCACTATACCGAAGTCTGATAGATCCATTTAGCTTTGCCCAGTTGACAGCTTTGCTTGTGTCTTATACCCTATTCCTGGAAACTGACAAAGTTGAGATTTTGCTGCTCGATTTGTTTGCAACAAAATTTTTCTCAAGAATTATTTTCCAACAATCTGGTCATAGGGTGCAGCAACCACATGCTATGTTGCCTTGCATCCACAAGTTAAAGGGGTGAGCGGCCATTATTTTGCAGACAGCAATATAGCTGAAGCAAGCTCACAGGCTAGGAATTCTGAATTGTCAAGAAAACTGTGGGATTTCAGCTTGGGTTTGATCAGAAGATGCTCTCACCCCTGATACAATATCAATGTATTGTCAAGTTGCAGCAGCAAAACAGTTTGGACAGCTTAGTTTCTTCGAAGTTACCAAGATTCTATGAAGCTATGAGCATGGTTTTAGTCATAGATGATAATATTCTGTTTCAGTGCAGTACTTTTGGCTTTTATTTCATAAACAGGTTTTCAGAGCCATGATTTGATATGATTTTAGTTACCTGTAATCCGCTATTGTGAGGTATGGGAACTAGATCTCATATCAAAGATGTGAGACTTTGATATATGGTCTATATGAATTTAGATTCTCCGACCTTAATATCTAGCTTTACAGGGCGTGCTTCTCTTCAACTATGCAACAGAGTTATGAGCTTGCATTTGGCCATGAAAAGAGAGAATGGGTTTGGTCTATATTTCTTTCTTGACTGCCAATGAGGCGAACTGCTCAATGATCAAATCTGTTAAGAATCAAATAATGATAGCAAGACTCAGTTCTACATTCAAGGGACTTACATGGCTGCTTCAGAAAATTCAAGTATGTTGGTCAGAAGTTGCACAAATGTTCAAGATTCAATGTAAACCTGAAATGTAATTTTTTTTTCCTTCTCTTTCTTGGTAAATGATCTTCTTCCCATAAAGTTATAACAGAGCATATAAATCACCAAAAAAAATTCTGATTCTCTCTCAAGACAACAGCTACTGTGTTAATCTTCCCTTCCCGTGAACCGAACATGGCTCATCTATACTTGAACAATGCTTAAACATATGTTTTAACACATTGTCAAAATGCCTCCCCGTGGCTGGCTCATGCATAATCAGAGAATAATACAGGTCATGTACAATGACAAATTAGTATATGAGGATGAAGATCACATTTGAGCTGACAGTTTACTCCAAGAAACAGGTATCCGCACGTTTCAGCATATCTTTTTGGTTGCTTCATCTAATAAAATTTGAGCCCCAATTCAGTTCTGTTCTCACCTTCTGTACATGTTCAGACCCAAAAAAGAAGTCCAAAGCTAATAATTGTACCAACCTAAACTTTCTTTCTACTGTACGGTGATCTAAAGAATATACAGTTCTAGCAGCCGTGTGAAGTTTCTGTTATGGAGGGAACCAGGTCATACACCAGATCATCAGAGGCAGCTTACCCCAAAAGCAAAA